CAAAACAGTTCTCATGTTTTTCAAAAATGGTTGAAAATGAAACCGATGCGAAACCTTTTGGAAACGTTGCAATGAATAAAGAAAACGATCGAAAAGCAATTTTATTTTTTTTCTTTTGTGGTACAAAGATAAATTATCCGTATTATCCTTTAGATTAACTTTTTTAATTAACATAATTGTGATTCCCTGAGAGTCCCTCAATATTTAACATCCCACAAGCGAGTTCGAAAACACAGCGCACTAGTATTGCTAAAATGCACGCAAACGTTTAAATAAACATCAATTCTTCGAAGCCCCGATCTGAAAGACCAAAATGGTATAAAATTCTTTGAAAAACCTGTTTTGAACTTAAAACCCAAGGCGACATGAATGGTTAGTTGTAATTAACAGCTGGGTTTTTTGTAATCTTTTGTGCTCATAGATGTATAGTTTTTTCTCATCTTTCTTCTGTTAAGCCAATGACATTAAGGTCGTTTAATTTTCTTCATAAATTGAATCACACTTCACAGTATATTTGTTCCAATTCTCGATCCTCTAATGCTCTTCATTGGGTCGAATTTGCAGGCACCATCACATTTTGATTCCCCACACTTACTGTAGTCCTATCAAACTCGCATTTCACCACAAAGTCTCCTTTTACCCAATCACAATGACAATCTTTCCTTACCTACATTTGCCAATTTTTCTTTTTTAATGAAAATTTTTTACTCGAAAAAAAACCCAAAAAAACATGCATTTTGAATGTAATTGATAAGAAATAAATACGCATTGTACTATATCAAACTATATATACTGAAGAATCTCGCAGGGTCAACAAGGATGATTGTAAACCCAAACGATATCTATAGAAGCTAGCGTTTCGGTGAATTATAAATTATCCTAAAAATACCTCAACTACTGGACTACAATTTCCTTGAAAACGAAATAAAGCATTTGTGTCTTAAGTTGCTAAAAGCACGAACGAAAAATGAGCGTTTACTTTTCCCTACCAGTCCAAAATTTGATATTTAATTTTGGAAAAGTCGTATAATTTCAATGCATGACCTAATCCCGCAAAAATGTCAGAAATCTGTCTTGGTTAAATAACGTTTCAGACTTATTGGAGCCACCAATGTATTTCAAATTCTAATAGAGAATGTTTCCTCAACATGTCTTAATGAAATCAATTTTCCAAAAAATAAAAGTATGTAATATGTAAAAAATGATATAATCGGTGGTATCCGTTTTTATGACAGCGAGTAGCGCACACGTTATACTGACCGAAAGAAGTCTATATTTACTCCATAAAGGTGGTCATCGATCGAACGTAAAGTTCGAGAAAAAAGCAGGCGAGCAGCGAAATCGCTTTGTTGACTTTGTTTATATTAAAACAGAGACAACCATTACATGGTATCAGACAAACATACCACGTGATGCGCATTCAAATCACTGCCTTTGTGTTTATTGTACATAAACCAAGAGAGGATGTATTGTCTCAGATATTGGCCTTATTTAGCTAAATTAAACCTGCTAAGTTATTTTTAGAGATGTTAGCCAGTCCTCCCGCGTTTAATGTTACAATGGGCGACGCCTATTTGTTTTCGTGGAGGGTGAAAATACGTGTAAAGTCCACGTGAATGAAATTCGTGTCACAGTTTGGCTAATTCTAGACCTTGCCGTAATTCCTGAAGCCTGGAGTGCCGTAAAAATAACACGAGAGGATTTCTTCAAGAAAAAGGCCTATAAGTAACTCTCTCACCCTTCATGATATAGACTGCACGAAATAAATGCAGCATTCATTCTGATGTGCTGCACATATTTCGCGTCTTATTTTCGGTTCTACCATTCTTCCCTGTGATAAGAATGAAATCATTCAATTGCTGTTTTGTGGCAAGGCAGCATCTGCTATTCAAATATTTTCAATAGTTGTTAGGACCGTGTGAAAATTCGACCAATACTAATAATAATGGTGCTATTTCTGCCGGGTATGTTCTCATTTGACTAATCTGGAAAAAAGGCTAGTACCCTCAGTTGTGATTTTCTCTCCATTCTACAGGCCTGTGGCCGAAGCAACCAAACCACCTCAACAGCTGTCAACACCAAACTCATCCGGGGATATTAATGTTACTTCGCTGATAGCTAAGCTACTCATCGGTTATGACAAGAGACTTCGCCCTAACTTCGGAGGTGAGGAAAACAATTTTTGTTTGCTAATTGTTTTATATCGTGTGTGTGCCTTGCTTGTAACCGCCGATATTAAGTCGTCACGCATTCCTTCTTGATACATCTCGCGTGACAACGACCACGATCGAGTGCGAGTCCTTAAAGGAGCTACGTCACGGTTTGCACATCTTGAAAAGCTCAGCCTAGAATTGTCAAATTCGTCGTTTTTTTCTTCCTCCATCCTTAGCCATCTTTGTTCCTTTGTGTTTCGTTAATATCTCTTTGGCGTTTCTCTATTTTAGTAAACTACTATTTACAGGTTTTCAATTTAAAGCTTATTCTGCAAGTGGCTGAAATAACAAAAAATATTGTGACTGAGCTCCTTTAACCTGCGATCAGGCGTTCGTTTCTTGGCGACCTTCTCCCGTCCNTATTTCCCTGTGGATTTTTGTCCTCTTAACACGATGTAAAATAATATCCTATGACAGGAGTTTACAACGATCATGTACTTCCGACAATACTGGAAGGACGAGCGCTTAAAATACAACCAGACAGGATACCGTAAGAGGCTGGCTTTCAATCCTGAAATGCTCAAGTTTATCTGGGTACCAGATACTCATTTCCCCGGGATTAAGGACGGACTCAAGCACGCAATCACAGACACTAATGAGGTCATCCGATTGTGGCCTGATGGCTCCGTGTTGTACAGCATGAGGTTGGTTCATGTAAGATACTCAAAAAGTTACAATTAGGTGTCGAGTGATAAATATATGCTATTTGCCGGCTGGGAGGTCCGTATAGTGAAAAACTGTGACGGAATTCAATTCACTATATACGGACCGACCCTAAGCCGGTAAATGACTTCATTATTTTTTCGTCTCTCCCTGAAATCACTTTTATAATTGTCAAGGAAAATCCGGACCGCACCGGCCAAGAACCAATCAGATTGAAGGATTTGTTACCGTGCCCTCTTGGAAAAAATATAAATCTCAGTATCTCTCTAGCTGTCTACTTTCAAACATCATACTTGCATTTTGTCATGGACGACGTTGTCTTGACTCTCCCTCTCTCAATCGTAAGCAATTTCAAAGAAATATCAATATGATACGCTTTATGAAATCACTGTGGTACACTTCTCTTTTTCTGTCTTTTGTCTTTTAAGGCTTAAAGTAATATCACAGTGCCCCATGAACCTGATAAACTTTCCAATGGATAAACAGAAATGTCACTTGAACATAGAGGCTTGTAAGTCAACTTCAATTTATTTGCGAATTGTGTTTGATGAGAGTAGAATTAAAAATAGTAAACTTCATACATCAGTGTGATAAACCTGCTTTGGATTGCATACAGTGGATGAGCAATTCTTAAGGGTTTCGAGTCAAGTTGATGAATAGTTCTTCATTTGGACTAGGGCTTAGTCAAGCTATCCTACCTAGAGACGTCTACTATTGCCTTTGTTCTTGGCGACAAAGTGAAACAAAAGCAATACACAGCTGTTTCGACAAAGATTGTCCCACAACAGCGCAAAAGCGCACGCGACAAAGCCAATCGGTATTGAGGGTAGTAACAGTTTGGCGCTGTTTGATTGAGGTTCACGGTGTTTAGCTAGAAGAAAAGAGAAGGCATGAATGCACGTGTTTGTGCTGTTTCCTTCTCTAACGCTGAAATACCTTTAGATTTAGTCAACAACTGTAAAACCACCGTTACTCGTAAAAACGTTCGCAATTGTAGCGTTTGCTTTTACGCTTTTGTATTACAACCTTTTCGAAACAGCTGTAAAGTAGGCATCGACAGGCAGGCTAAGTCAAAGCAGAGGTGTGTTCGGCAAATCCAGACGAATTCAGTGCTAATCAGGTAGCTACCTGTTTTTATGTCCTCCTTATTACAAATGAGGAACCTGCCCCCTAGCCTTGTATGTAAAATTCCAGTAGTCGTTCCAACACTGTGTTTGTTATTTAGTCAGTTACGACGACAAAGAGATGACTCTCAGCTGGCACAAAGACAATCCTGTGGCAGTGTCGGACAAAATTCAGATTCCAAGCTACACTCTGACAGATTACGAGTATTATTCTTCAGTTGACGAATTTACCACTGGTATGATTTCCAAATAAACTGTTTTGACTCATTTATACCCTCTAGGATCATCCACATTTTCAGTTTCTTTCCTCAACCATCGTGAAAATAAAGCTAAAAGCCTCCATAGACTCTTCATATGGCACGGACAGGTGTGCCTGTGTTGCCCTTTATAATTCAAGTTCACTTTGGTATAACATAGGTTACGAAACTTCACGATGCCATTTGAAGTCATCGTGTTACCCTCGCATGGGATCTACCTGGTTCGGTGATTCAACTTAGTTGGTTTTATAAGCCAGATAATCCGCCATTAAAAACCCAAAATACCTAACTTAATTCCCAATTTCGTCTACAAGACGCGTCTGAAGGAATCATGGTAGTTGTATTCATCATCTGGGACTGGATATTTGATTTGATGAATTCAAGTATCATGATTCCCTGCAGGTGCGTCTCATACCGGAAATTGGCCATTAGCCGATGGTAAACAAACAGTTTACAAAAATTCCAAAATTTCTTAGGCCCTCATTGGCAAGTTTTTATTGAGAAGAGGAGCAGATGAAAATTGCTCTCGCTTTCCTTCTTATTCCTCTAGTTTTTTGATAACAAAAGGATAACAACAAATTGTGATTTCGTTTCAAATATTTTGGTTAAACATCATGCTCCTGTGCCACAGAACGATGCACGGTTAATAAATGTTTTATAATTTAATTAACTCCATAGGAAGCTACTCGTTACTGACCATTGAATTTGATTTGACTCGTCGACTGGGATTCCACATGATTCAGGTTCGATTATAGTGATAAGAATTTTTTTTCTTTCCATGCAGTAGCTGTGGTATTCCCGTAGTTCTTAGATAGTGCATGAATGATATCACAGTTTTGTATAGCAAAGCTCGTAGGCTCAAGTCCCGGGGGCTACTCCACAAAGTTTTTGTTGGGAGTGTGCTGCTCAAATCCTGTACCCTGTCCATCCTATTTCAGATCAAAATCGTCCAAATCTATCGAATTTCGAATAGATTTAACCCTGATCTTATTCTGTCGCAGATTTATTTGCCCTGCTATTTAATCGTGGTGTTGGCTTGGGTCAGTTTTTGGGTGGACCGCGAACAAACGGCAGCCAGGATTGCCATGGGAATCACCACTGTGCTCACCATGGCAACGCTGATTGGTAGTGCCAGGACTTCTCTGCCGAAGGTACGATGTTCATAATGTTTTGCAAACTACTTATTTTGCTACATCTTGGGAGACCCAGTCTATGTTAGTTGGGGCAAGGAAAAGTGGAAAAATCGAAGAAGAAAATTTGAAGACAAATCCCCTAGCTAAGGACCGAGTCTTACTGCTCCAGTTCTAATCAGCTCTGTGATTGCTGCCTTCTGATTGGGCAAAAAAAAAATCCTTTGTAGTATTTTATCCAATCGGGAATCATCGGGTTCACAGTACGTTTTACATGTTCTAATAAGGGGCCTACACAAAAGCTAGTTCGTTCATCATATCTGTCTTGCTTACTTAGCAATATTTTACTCTAAAAGAATAATACAAAGAATTTTTCTTTCCATCGAGAAGCCAGCATTCACAGAAGTGTATCCAGGGCCTCGTCGTGTTACGCAGTAACCTCTCTGACAGCTATAGGCTCAGTTAATTGTAATAAAGACTATTCAGGTCAAGAATTTAAACCATAAACAGTTTCAATTAATGTTTGTTGCTTTTGCATTTAATAATTGATATTGTGATCGACGGAAGAGCATCCTACAATAAGCCGCTGTGGTAGCAAAACCCGATTCACACTATTTATTCTAATCGGAGGATGATAAAGTCCTCTTCGCTAACCATTTTCTGGAGTTTCTTAAGCATGCAACAGAATTCTGTTTATTTGTAGCTGGCTCTTGTTGTCTAGAACACCCTGAAGAAACCTAACACGCATTATCTTTACCTCAGGTGTCGTACGTCAAATCCCTGGAGTGGTTTCTTATAATGTGCTTCCTGTTCGTGTTTTCCGCCATTTTGGAATATGCCTTTGTTTCTTATCTGGTGTTCAAGCAGCGAGAACAAGAACGAGCAAAGATCGGCATGAAAAAGAAGCATGACGAGGTAAGCCATATACGTTCTGCTTTTAGTGCACTCTAACTTTAAGGAAATCTTGGCTAAAACAGGTTTGTCCCAAATCACAAGTTGATGTTTGTGTTAAACTGTTTACGCGATTTGAGGTAGATAATTCTTTGCCTGTTTTGGATGCTGGACGTTTCGTTTCGGCTGTCTGAGGATGTCAAATTTCCCACGCGCCGCCATGTTCATTTTTGCGAAGCTTGATGGAGTTGGACTTTCACAAAATACATCAATATGTGAATCTAGAGATATAAAAGTGCCTCTAATCATGTACAATTCATATTCGGGATGAAAAAGTACAGTTCCAACAAGAAATAGTCCTCTGTAGACTCCATATTGAGATCTCTGACCAAGTGATTTAAAGTGAAAACCAAACACTTTGTATTCGAACCACTTATAGAGATATCAACAGAAAACCCCAAGGTCAATTAAAGAAGAATCAGTAGGTATACGTTGGAACTAAAACTGCTTTTCAGCCAAGATCCCCTTTAAAAATATGTTTTCTGAATGTAGAAAATTGTCCTTTGCTTAGCTTTGTCATTGGCCTTATATATATTCTTTATCTCGAGGAGAAAGCATGCGAAGCAGCAGAGGGAACTGTCGACAACGACAAAACACCGCCATCACCAGGCAGCCGCCCCTCCTCAGGTCAGGAGGCAGTCTGGATCCCAGGGAAACATCAAGTGGAGACTGTGGCCAGACCAGGCAAATGCCGCGGAAGCTCAAAGAAACCTCATGAAGAGTATCATTTTGTCAAGATCCTCAATACTGTGGAATTTTTCTCCAGGCTGCTGTTTCCGATAGTGTTTATCTTCCTGAATGTGGCCTATTGGATCTATTATGGCGGAATTCTGGATTAAGAGTCGCAGGACCTGCAGCTGAGTGTGTCAGTGGTTTAGCTGGCACCCTGATAACTATGCAGTTATGAATTTGTTTTACTGAGCGTGCGCAAAGGGGTGTTGTAATAATTCTGGTTGTTCGTGAACGGTTTTTAGTTCGTTATGTTCAATGGTATTTTAATAAGTTGGCCATTTCGGTCCCAAAAGTTATTCGCAAATTGGCTTGCGGTACGAACGAATTTGTCGTATCAATAAGTCCCCGCTGACAGATGAAATGTAAAGTTTTTACACTAAAAGCATTATCAGTTAATCTTTTGATTGTAAGACAAAGTTTGATGCGGATATAATATTCTGTTTAGAAGAAATAAGGGCTTAAATGTTCATTCTCTTCAAATGTGTAACGGTGCAAACGGGGCCAAAACCTGTTCTTTTCAATCGTAGCGTAAAATGTTAACATAGAGATAGTTTAATCTTTAAAACTTTTATAACAGTAATAGAAAGAGGAGGGCCTCCCAAGGCCCACATGGGCTCTAGGACCCTTATAATTTTTGCATTATTTCCCGTGTTATCCGTAAATAAATTCTATTGTTCCCTTAAGTTCCGTTAATACTAGAGACATCATTTTTCCATTATATTAATCCAGAATATATATCCCTTGTTCCCTGAAAATAAGTAATCATGATTTCTTGTTTCTGAAAACCCTTTGGAGGCCCCCAAAGAGGCAGACTGATCGAACAAAAATCTTGCTTTGAAGTTTTCTTCCTAAGCAGTAAAGCCTATTAAGAATACTGCTGCTCTAATGAAGTATGTTTGAGTTTAACGATAGATAGCATGAAAATAATGTATATAATTAATGATATATCCGGAAAAGTCTTAGGCCTTTCGTTTTCGAAACTATGTTCACAACAAAAGGGATAATTTTTTTTTAGAATGGGCGTAAGTACGAAGGCGATTACGTATTGTGGCTCATTGGGATTTTCTGATCTCACTCTTTGTAGACTTCTTTCACAATCGCGCATTATCACTAACGCTTTGGTAAATTGGTGGACCCTTAGATACTAGAAAAATTTGGATCTTGCTATGTTATATATCTTGAGTAAAGCGAAGCGTGTCTCAGTACATTTATAATTTAGGGGGCTTAAGCACAAACGTTTTTGAGAGACGAACGAGAGCCGCAAGTCGACGTTTCTCGTCTTTGTCGCGTGTTAATGACGTCTCGTTGAAAAATCCAAGATGAAAATGTTGAAACGAGAGCTTTCTACTATTCCAGCTAATTACGGTGTAGTGGAAGGGAGTGGAAGAGGATTTGAGAACGCGCAAGTAAATTGCAATTGACCTCAGTGACTCAAAAACGACTGCAATTAGGGAGGCTTGCCTCCTCCCCTCCCCACCTTGATGTGAATCTAGCTTAAAATTTTTACCAGAAACACTGAACTTGACAAGGCTATTAATCAACGCCTTAATTTCGGTTTGTGGTCGGAATTTGGGTAAAACAATGTTTAAATGTAACCAAACTGTTGCAAAAGACATAGTGGCAATGGTAATGTACGGATGTAGTAGTAATTCTAAACAGGTTAGAAGTATAAAACTCTACAGACGAAACTACGATTTATGAAGTTGTATCACTCCTATATGTTGTTTATTTTACTTTCTTTGCCAGCATTGGATTGTTTGCAGGGTATCATGTTAATAAGATTTGCGTTAGGGTGGCTGAATTATAGATTAACATGCATACGTAGTGAATATATTACATGAAATTAAAATAAAGCTGCTAAAATGTAACATTACGATGCCTTTATCGTTAAGAATGTTTAAGGACAGCACTGGTATATGGATCTTACCTAAAAGATTTAGCAACGTTTCTTCTCGTTTCACTAATCACCTTAAAGCTTCCTTTCCTTACAATGAATGTCAAATGATTGAAAATTGCTGGTTTTCAGTGTCACGCAATTCAAAATAGATCAAACTAAAACTCAAAACCGGTCAATAGATAAATTCCAGAATCTGGGAAATGAAAGAAGGTAAATATGCAAAGACTCTCGCCAAAATTCTGGTCACAGCAATTTTTCTTATGCGAGATATGCGGAGAAATTTTTTCTCCAAATTTATAGAGATTTGTATGGAGACGCCATGCTGATGCCCATCCGTATGGACACCAACATGGCAGCCGGAAACCAACAGAAATATCTGTCACCGAGGTTTGCTACAAAAACGTGAATTTATCCCTCGAGGAACTCTAAAACATTAAAACAATACTTTTTCTAAGACATGAACTGTTGAGATAGTCAAGTTACCCTAAAATAAGTCACTTTTTTAACCATCATGACAGCTCTCTAGGCCGTCATGTCAATGCCGCGTCACGCTAAAGCTTAGAAATTTAAGCGTAGTGTATCACAAAACCAAGAACCCGTTCGGAGCGAAAATTTGTATGAATATTAGTTTTCAGTAGCTCTTATACATCATTTAAGTAAAATCTCAGGAAGATCAATAGTTTTGTAGTTCGAATTTTAGTGACGTCATGTGAAAACCAGCTATAGAAGAGTGAAAGAAATATTTGGTAGTGGAGGGTGGGTGCTTAGGATAACAAGAGGTTTTTATTGTTGCCAGCTAGTGGACAGATAAAATACCAACAGCATGCATGGCTGGCAGATGAACGTAATACGATTAAATACCACCTCAGGCAGCACTTCGACACTAACTGAATGCAAAGGAGAGATCATCCTTTCTTGCAATATGACAGTAAAGAATCGAAGATTGAAGAACGAAGTGAGAGGGAAAAGATAGAAAGTTCGCTTTTCTTCGTGGCTTGCAAATCGGGTTGGGGTTTGTCACTCCTTGCCTCACAATTTCGCGTAGTTACATTGTTTTGTATGTGTTTTAATTCCTATTCCATTATTTTTGACAATTTTATAATAATTTCTCTTGATCGTAAATCTTGAAAAGGCACAGGGGATCTCCCGGATTGTCCAAGCATAGAAGATGCCGAATGAAGCTGCAGTGAAAAACAAACAAACAAAGAACAGTTAGCTGCCAATATATTTCATGTTCGAGTCAGTTACGTTGTGGCTTCTAAAGTAGTAAATGTAAACATTGAAAATTGTGTTTAATTTAACTGAAGGGTAAAACACTCCTCGATTTTCAGGCGAGGACAGGCTTGTAGGATTTTAACTTCGGCTTGTACATTAGCCAGTGACATCACAACAACAAAAGATGACGATGGCAACGACGGAAAGAGGAGTACAGCACAGATGGTTCAGTTTTTATGTTTTAGATTTTCCAAAGAGGCAGTGCTGACGTTCACAAATGGCTAATTTCCTTTATGATACGCGCCTGCAGGGAATCATGGTAGTTGTATCTATGAAAACAAAAATCCAGTCCAAGATGATGAATATAACTACCATGATTCCCTGCAAAGGCGTGTCATAGAGGAAATGGGCCAATGCTGTAAGTATATTGGGAACATTTTCCCTGTAGCATAACAATAAATTTCACTTTAAAGTGCGAAATCATTTCACTTACTAGGGATTATCGAAGCACGTAGTCTTAAGTCCCCTTCCCTTGGCACGATTCTCCAGCTCTAGAACACTTAAGCTATCGCATCTTTCCCTAAAATAAATAATAGAAAGGAAAGTCTTATTCAAAGATATTATTCAGCTTATTTATCCTGAAAGTTAAACGAGAAATGATACACGATACGCGTTAAGCGTTAAGATGCACGGTAAGCGATTTTCGGTGCATGGTACGATTTAACTTGCGCCTTAAACTGCACGATGCCTGAGCTGTACAGTACAATGCAAAAGGTATGATGTAAAATGAACGATACCCGACTCACGACGATGCCCAATTCAATGCACAGTGTACCATAAACGATTTATGCACGATGCTGATCATACCAAGCCTTGATATGTGCAACACACAAAGTACAATAGTTTGCGCTACTTTCATCTTTGATCATGTACTCCTTAAGACGGTTTCTAAACATTTCCCGTCTTGTTCCCTCGCTTCTTCTGTCTATTCTCTTTCCCCAGATTCTTTGTTTCGACCGACGTTGTTCCCTTTCGGTGACCAGTAAGAATACAGACCTAGGGAAAGAGATCGAAAGAATGGAACACACTTTGTATGTGTCCTCGATCACATTATTACTTACAGAGCTTTATGATGAAGAGAATGACCCACAAGAATCCTAAACTCTTTTATTTCCTTTACAGGTAGGCTTGATATTTGATTCTCTGCTAGATAACTGTGGAATAAAGCAAAGTAATCAGTTATAACGCCTGCGGGAAAAACGTTTCGTTACTAAGAACTAACAGGGATTCTACTAATTGATTTAACGCGATCTGCTCTCTCGATATGAATTTTTAAAATACACGTGAATAATTTGCGTGTTGCTATCGCGAGCTGACAGATCCTTTCTAAAAAATATGCTATCATCATAGGCAAGGCGCTATATAAGGTATTTGCTAAATTCCGTTTTAGACTCTTAACTTTTTTACAATCAACGTTGCCTAACCTATCGTCCATGAACGAAGGAAAGATCTGCCTGTCCATGAAGTGCTGTCTCGTGCCATTCAACATGACGTGGACAACGCCCCTCGCTCGTTTCGCCAGCTGATGAAGAGAAAGATCCAAGGACGTTATTCAGTGAATATCACACACTTTAACCTGTGAAGTCGACCTTACGATGGTCCAGGAATCAGATTGCGTGAAAGCTACTCCTAAATAGCTTGGCTCACTTCGAGAATCTTGAGACATCACGAAACTTTCGCAATAGACCACCTGAATTTTCCAAGTCTTCAATTTGGGTTTGACAGAAAACTTCCATGCCACTAAGAAAGAGCACCTTAAAGAAAGCCTTTTTTTTTTTTGGAACGATCTGGACCAAGATCAATGATCCAAGATTACTGTGGTATTGGCACAACAAAGCAATCGATGAATCCTTGCCCAGAGTGGATTCATCGGTTACATTGACACACTTTAGTCCGAGTGATCTGGGATCATTGATCCTGATCCAGATCAACTCAAACGAACGCATCCTATTATCTAGTGGAATTTTTAGTTGCATATATAGCCGATTGAAAATTGGAATTCTACAGAAGTAGCTTACAAGTGATAAGACAGACTACGAGCCGATTACTATCAGCTTTTGTCCCTAACTGGAGGGGATTGCATGCTAAAAGGTTTCGCCTTTCGCGTTCGTGAAAACTACAGACTGTTCGTAGCCTAAGTGATTAGTGATAGCACTTACTTTAGCAGCTGCTTGACCCCAGAAGGCTTTCTGCTTGCTGCACTGATATGGACACGACTTGAAGTCGATCCCAGGTTCCTTCTTGCTGCCACACCACCTCACACCGTTCATCAGGAATCTTATGTCATATTAGACAAACTCGATAAGTGATTTAATAAAAGAGTATTGAAAAAACAATGTTTTACAAGGTGACATTTTGTTGTGTATGTGCATGTTAACGACATCCGAAAGATGTGGAATGTTCTTTATGTAAGCATCATCATTTATCTCACCCTGCCAATGTATCCTCTAAAGTTGTAAATCTGTCGTACAACCTGGAGTACGCATGCGTGAGTTCTCTTGTTCCAGACCAAAACAAGACCTTGAAACGAGTAAAACAATCCCTTTCAATAATTACCGATAGGAAATATTCACTTAAGGACGGTGCCTACTAAATACAAGGTTTTTGCGCTAGGTAAGGACCACGTGGGAAAAGTAGACCTTTGCAAGGGCTATTGGAATCCGCAAAGAAAAATTGGGGCAGCCACGCATTTTTTCGAGATAATTAGCCTTGAATCTCAACAAAAATGCTGACATCAGCATTTTCTGAAAAAAGAAGGAAAGGATATTTCTTCACAGATTTCCTTCGAATTCGCCTTTACTAACAGAAAAGCAAGCACATTTATAAAGATCTGCAACAGCGCTTTTAGCGTCTCTGACAGCCTTCCTCTAGTTCAGCTATAATATAGTCTAAATACCTTTTGCTCACAACCAGAAACTAATCACGTGTTGAATAGGCTTGCCACTTCCATTTTATAACATAAAATGTGGGGGTAACCATGGGTTTTTTTAAAGTTATTGATCTTTGTTGAAAACTTTTACGGTGCCCGTTACATTTTTTCCTGTCACCTCCCCGTTAAGTCAAACATTTGCGTATTTCGCACTTGTTTTGCGCGCGCACTACGCCATCTGCAGGTACATGTTTACAGTTGGATTTCAGTATAATTTTCCACAGAAAACAGCTAGTTTTTCAGCTGGATAACGTTAACAGTTAGTGCTTAGCGATATGCTGCTATTTTGGTGTTCCTGGTTGAAGTATGGGTTCATTAAACTTGATTTGGTCACAGAAGGAAAGTTTTGCTTTCTTTTAGTCGTGTACTTGGTAGCGTAGTTGATTGCGTCAATGTCAACCCCAGCGCGCGCGTTGCGCTTAAACCATGCCTTGCGTGATGCGCAGAAAGTATGCGCACTAACAAAAGTAGGCACCGTCCTGAAATGTCAAATAGGAAACGCAAACTGATGTACGTGGCAAAACAATTGAATGTATGACAAAAAAATTTAAAACAGGGGTCCAACAGTGGTCAGGATGTATTTTAAAAAAATAGCCTTGCCCTTTATAGGACGGATATTCTATTGTCATATCATCAACTTTATTCTTAAAAATGGTTAGTTCTCAATTACCAAAATAGAAATTGAGCTTTTATCTGTTTATCGCAGAAAGTGGGAACTCTAAATGCAAAAAAATATATATCTATGATAGTGAGGATCACCGGTCGTATTGAGTAGTAATATAAATATTCACTCTAGCCTCGCACTTTTATATTCGTCTACTGATAGCAAAGAAATAGAAGTCGTACCCTATCATTGAGTGGCTTTTCATCATACATCTTAAAGAACGGAGTGTAATCATCAAATTTGACGTCACAAGGCTCTTTAAAGGCGAAGCTCTTCAGAAATGCTTTCCACATCTCCTGGCAATCCAGTTTAGTCGGGTTTTCAAGATACTTCCCTTTATTTTCAAGGAAATCCCAACACCGTCCTACGAAAATTTCCTTAAGGTGCTTGGTCGACCCTTCAACAGGTTTAAACATCCATTTGTTCTTGTTCTTGTTAAGTCTTTGGTCGTAGTATTCCTGGATCTTTTCCTCGACAAATTTCACGTCTTCATCAACATTGCTCCATAAGTTTGCTCCGGGCGGAAGCACGTTCCTTGATCCTGCTGTGTTTTGTGCCAAGTTGTAATTTTGAGTCACTGCAGGCCTGGGCTTGTAAAACGATCCAACTGGTACACTACTAATTGGATTCTTCCTCCATGAACGATCATAGAGTTTATTCTGCTCGTAATTTTGCTTAGAGTAATAAAGTGGCTGGTTGACTGCCATTTGATATGCACGGCTCGCCAATAGCTTTAGATCCAGTCCCCTTTTGTTGTTATTGTTTGAAGGCGACGACCATTCTTCGCCAGAATTCTTGGTAATTGGAAAAATGTTCCTGTTTTGCTCGGGTTGCGATCTCACTGTACGAGAGACCCAAATTTTTTCATCACGATCAAAATTGTGGCTAGCATCTAAACAAGGAGACAAGAAATGCATTTCTGTGGCTCCCTAGAGTGATTTTACTTTAGTTGTGAGACTGTGTCTATTAAATAAAATTATTAAAAGAAAATGAAGGATTTAGAGTAATGTGAACTTAAGGATCTTTTTCACTGGTTACGCAAAGTCGCTAGGTTTTTAGGAGAAAATTTTGTATCCCAATGTTCCCCTGTAATTTTTTTACGGTGCAAGTTCTCAGGCTATGTGAATAACTTGGGAACAAAGTTATGGGCTTGGATGTACACTGCGGCCCTTACTGTGAGCAGAAATCGATAAGTTCGGATAGACTATTTCACATTTCTATATATATTAAGGAACGACTTATCCCCCCCAAAATTGGCAGAATATCTATGTGACAACATTACTTTTAATTTGTAATTTTTTAAAACTTTCAATCTGTTGATTTTTAACTGAATTTTCGGTGACCTCTGTTCACATTCATCAGAGTTCATCGATACAATATCAGAGTTCGTTACTGCTCGCGCTATAACCCCGCGCTTGCAATCGTTTTATTGATTTTTAAATCGACGGCAAGTAAGCGCGATTGAAGGAGCGGTTTCCTCTCGTCGATGGAGGCGCCGTCCTGGCAGAGGTAAATTAACAAGGAACAGTTGAATTATTAATTTTACTTATGTTTAAGCTTGTTTAGACTGAAATGGTTGACTAGTCATCCTTGTGGTAGTGGTGTCTATTATCATCATGAACGCATCAAGAATCGTTAATGCTTGGAAGAATGGTGGAAAACCAAAACATAAGATTGGATCCCCTCTCAGCGTGTTGCCAAACAAGCTTAAGTGGTCAGTTTTGCTGCTTGCCCAATCAGATGAAACCCCGGAGAAAAAGGCTACCAGTGAATAGCATAAAGCTCTTCTACAGTGTCTTGAACCATCTTTTCTCGACGTTTAGCAGCTTTCGTTTGTTTTCCTTAGCGCTGGGTCTCAAAACAGTTCATGAATCCAAACGATTCATGAATTGTTTTGATCGATCAGCGAGGTCGTTTTGTCAACCGTCAAGACCGCCCACTGATAAACAAGAAACTAGTCAACCCTGCACTGACAGCGTTGTTTTGGGTTTCCAATAGCATGCTTTTCCCTCACGAATTGCTCACAGGTCGTATTCTGATAAGGCCTTCCCGTGTAATAAAAGCGAGAATCGGCAAGAAAAGGTCACGACATACCTGTTGTGATCAGACACCACTGCGATATGATCAGTAAGCTAAACAGAGTGGCCCACAAAACCATCACTTCGAGCGATTTGACTCACAGCCCACTGAGCCAGTGTTGAAAATTGCCTGAAAACGTGCTTGCAGGAATACTGGCTGCCTTTCAAAGAAGAAAAAGCAATCAAAATTACTATGTTATACCATGAATATATTGAATGCAATACATTTGTTCCCTGAAGGATCGTTTACCTATTGACTTCAGCGGTAGAGAGTGCTTCGTCGCATTTCCCCTCTTACGATGAACCACTTAAGCTTTCGCGGTATGTTGGTTCCTTTTGGTTGCAGCTGGCTATTTTTTCGAAGTATTTTGCTTTAAAAATTTGTTCTGTTCATTGAAAATGGCTTAAAGTGAAGTTATTTTCTCCCATATTACAATAGATCAGTGCACAGGTACCTGCAAATTGGACAGGTCAAGGAAACCAAAGATGATAGGTTTCACAGTAGATGACGCTTGGAAAATGACTTAAATTTTCTTTTCTACCTTTAGTGTAAGCTGAAGACATTATAACAAAATCAACATAATTGATTCCTTTTTTGAAAACCTAAAGCAGCTAGAAAGGTCAAGAATTTGTTGAAAATTATCTATGTTTGGCGGAATCTGCCCCTATCGTAGCGGTAATAATAAAACTAGAGTTGATTTCGCCCACAGATATATACTTATCGGGCAAAGCCAAAAACATAAAATGCCGCTGGGAAGCAGCGTTTGGTGAAACAATTCCCTAAGCATAAATCGCCTTTAATAAATCAGTAGCATTCTAGATTCATGTGAGAGGCGTGGTGACCGGTGATCTAATTATTCACGCGCTGGACTCCGGATTGAGCAGTCCTGGTTCGGGCCCGGGGTCATTATGTTTTGATCTCGGTCAAGACACTTTGTTATACCTCCCAACTCAAATACGTTTTCCGATTGGAGGAGAACGTGTCACGTGTCACGTGTCGTGGGTCAAAACTCACTAACTCCTTAGGGCGAACAAAACTCACTAACTCCTTAGGGAACCAACAACTTGAACTTTCGACTCGCTCGTGATCAGGTCGTGCTCCTTAAAACCGTGGCAAATTTGTGAGCCAGCCGACGTCAAGCAAACGTCTTTCTTCGCATTTTTTTTTCTATTTTTGAGTTGGGGGGTATAACAAAACATGCAATGACTGGTCCCGCGGGAAAAAGTGAGTTTTGTTCCCCTCACGCGACCTCAATGTTCTCCTCAACTTCTCCTCGGCAAACATTGAGGGTCCCGGGGGAACAAAACTCGCTGTCTCCCTTGGGGCCAGTCATTAAGTGCTTATTACTCCCTGGGAGAACCCTGCGATGGACTACTATCCCATCCCCTGAGGGGTGGGGGAGGGGCGGGGCGGGGGTTAGTAGAAAAACTCGTAGTCACCAAATACTACGGAAACCAGAACAAGCTTCGGCGAGGTGAGTCACTTTCACGAAGTATACTTCACCTTTATTCTACGTGACAAGGACTTGTTACGGTTAAAAGCTTTTAGTTAATCAATAATTAGTTAATTAGTTAGTCAATAATTCTGGTTATAAAGGTCCAGTGCTAACATCGGCGCCACAAATCAGCGCAATCTGCTGATAAGGCAACCTGGACATCACTGATATCATTAGCTGGCCATGAAAACTGAACGATTACGTTTTTGGGACGAAACTTTCCATTGCCAGAGTTTCCACTGAATAAAAGAAAAGAGGTAATTTATAGATTTAGCCAAGCCTAAAAACAGAGCTCCTGGGCCGGGTTGTTCAAAGCCCGATTAAGTTAACCCAGGATAGGCGAGAATTTTGATTTGAGTTCCTTAACTGATTTGAGTTCCTTTTGCAGTGATATATATCCTCTTGCAGCAAAATTGCTCCACAATCCCTCGTTTTCTACTGATGACGGTTTTCTTTGTTTCCTTGTTCACCAAAGCCCTAAGAAAATCTTCGCTACTATATAGCAAAAGTAAAATGCGTTTGACACATTCTCAAAGGTAATGTTAAGCTCTTTATAACGTAACACAGGTCTGGTTTGAATGGTTCTCTTAACCACAGCATACACGTATTTATTATACGTACAAATAGTACCGGCTTTTCGAGGTTATGATTGACCACCCATACTTTAAGGGCTAAGGTTTTGCGCCGAATACTTGTATGCTGTCTTACCGTATGGCATGTGTTTGTACACGATGTAACGCACGCTCTGATTGGCTTATTTCAGGGCATTATTTTCCCGTAATGCCCTCGGGCCTATTACGGGCCTGCAAAAGTAAAAAGCCATATAATAAACAACTTATTGACCTCGAACGTTCTATCTTTAGGGGAAAATCTCAAACCTCCACCTTGCCTTATTGACCTCGCTATCGCTCGGTTAGGGTTTGAGATTTTCCAGTAAAGACCTCACTCTCGGTTAAGAAGTAGTTACTATTACTACTATCTAGGTCAATGAGCCCCAGTTCTCTTTAGTTACTTGTAATGACCTGATATTGATGAGAGCCATAATTTCGAGAAATTTTGACTTCGAGCCATCAACGACACTCTGTTTACAGTGGTTTCCAAGCCCTTCTTAAATATGGAAAAGCCAAACTTCAAGCCTCGTTTCGAGAAGTAATTATTCAACTGAAGTAATTATTAGCAACAAATAAATTAAGATAATAAGAATACACTACAAACAAACGAAGATACTTCCAGCGCCGCCTCCGCCACCTTCTTTATTGACCTTCCCGCTCTCTCTTACGCTGTGATGAATTTGCTGTAGAAGGAGAAAATTCTACAACTTTAGGGTCAACAGAAGCCTAATTATTTTTCTGATTTCAAAAAGTAGAACATATTGAACAATCCAATATACGACTGTAGCGTCACTGAACAATATGAATCATAGCTGGTGCCGGTAATGGAGACACAGAAAAACCCCTGCTGTCTGCTGTCAGCTCTATGAATTACGTCATTGGTGCCTGGTCAAGCGAATAAACACATAAGTAATGAATAATTCCATATAACTTTCTTTGCGTTTATTGTAGCCAAAATATGACTTTTTGTTTTTCATTACAATAGTCACTTGTATAGATCCTTGGAAACCAACTTGGAATGTTGTTGTTGACGAATGTTGTTGCGGTGTTTTCATTTCAGCTTTGTCTGGTTTTGGGAAAAGGTCAGTACACTGCTTAACCAAATATTTTACAGTTAACAGTTCAAAACACGCCACTTAACGAGGCGAACGATTTTTGCTTCAGTGGAGACAAAATGACCATTATCGAACAAACGAAATTTGTTGGTTTTGTTCTTAATACTCAGAACAAAGCCCTACGGGCTTGAAACGATTTTAAACTTTGACGTGCTTTAAGGACCCAATTATTTATAAAATTCAGGAGACCATACTTTGTCGCTTCACTGATTATGACAAGCGCGTAAGATGTATTTACTTTTCACGTGAGATAAACAATTTTGAAGGCGTTTTTAATTTTCCATGGTTGTTAGTTTTACATCCCCGCCTAATACACATTATTTTGCGTTGCACTCTCAGGTGGGTACTCCACTCGCTTGGCATGTGTAACTTTACTTCCTGATCAATCTGTTCCATTTTCCACCTGTTTCAGACATTCTGCTTCCCAAATGTGTCAAGATCGTGTCCATTAACGCTCCTCTGGACGATCCTACAAGAGCTGCAGAAAACTATGGTGTACTAGCCGACAAAAAGAAAGCAGTACTAACCGACACCCCGGTTATATTCAGGATCCACAGAGGGCTCATGGAAGAAAATGGAACGGTATCTCTGGAAGCACTTAATCGCCCACGATTTTTTCTACGCCACAAAAATTACCACTTTCATTTGGAGAAAGAAGTCAATAGTTCTATGTTTTGTGAGTACTCATTGTTTAGTTGTTAGGTTTTTTAGATGCATCGTAACTGGGAAGAACCATGGAACAATGTGCTCAGATTTGAATTTTTTTTTCCACACCAGTGAATGCAAGAACTATCAGGCGATTTAGGACGTTAATGTAATTCAACAGCACGTCGGGGTTTCTAAATGAGTTAGTGGTAACTTACGTTCCGGCTTTTCTGTCCTGTCCCATGTTAAGCCAGTTCTTTCTAACAGGCGTAGATTTAATGTTATTTTTACCGTTATTCCCAAGTTTGTAATCACTCCATAAGTATACAAATTCAGGCAGGTATCCTTCTAAATAAATTCAACGAGACTCCTGTGTTCCGTCTCGATCAAAATACTTACCATAGTTTGTTCTCCCAGTTACCGTTTTGATTTCAATGGACCTGAGGTTATTTTTCTCACCACTGGAGGAGTGACGACGGAAGAGGAAGTGAGGAAAAAAATGTTTTGCATTTTGTTTCCTCACTTCCGATTCCCTCCAAATTTGGAAAACAGGAAGTAGATATATTTAGTCAATTATCTGATGATTTGGTGCTAAGACACCCAATTGTGCCCTACATGAAGATATTTTCGAGATCAAGGAATTTCAATTCAAAATGGCGGACAATGCCGAAATTAAAAGATTTACAAAGATCCTGAAGATATTTTTTGAGGTGGAAGACGATCTCAAAGGTAGTCCAATTAAGGCTCGCAAACCCGCGTCACATTCTGGTGAAAGCAAACACTCATTGGACATGGGAGCACGAAGAAAATATCAAAATTAACTCATTGGGCTTTTTCGACAGACAAGGATGCAACCTTCTTCATTTTAAAAGTCACAGAGAACCCAGCCCTGTACGCGTTCGAGTTGTACAGTCATCCCACATGGTTCATGCGCCATTTAAAACACAAACCGTACAAAATGGTCCTCAGGAAAGTAAATGAATCAAGCAAAGCTGTCATGGATTCCACCTTCTATCTCGCTCCTCATGCTTGCTCAGAAAAGAAGAAAAACGGTAAAATATAGCTAAAAACTACTACTAATAATAATAGTATAAACATATTTAACCAGGGTAAACCCGTCAGCAGAAGCTGTTATTAAAGGGTGTCCTGGGCAACTAAAAATAGAAATAAATTAACAATAAAAATCCCAAAAACATTACAATATATGTAGAACTCTTTTGATAGTTCAAGATACTGAAGTACCAAAGTAATTCTCAGTCCTTTCTTGGTCCTCTTTGTTTTCTAAATCTCTTTTGCTTTCATTTTTCCATTAGTTCAAATTTACTTGAAGGACTTTCCCAGTTTGCGTGGTTTGATTTCATTTTTGTGATAACTATTCGCAAAGTGATAACATCAAGGGCAACTCCTTGTCGATGTTCTGACTTTGTGAAAAGTTAATAACACAAACGTATTTGAAATACGTTCCGAAATCCTTATGCAGGGCCATACTAGCACTGAAACTGCCAATTAGAAATTTTTCCTCCTAGCTTTGCATTATAACTAGTTTCTGGCCCTTTGGTTACTGCTTGATCATGCTGATCTCAAATCTTGCTGAATCAGACAATTATTTGTTTTCCGTATTTAGAAAGCAGTGCCGAAAAGAAGACGGTTTTGGTGGGAGACGGAACGTTTATAGGTAAGCACCTTCGGCTATGCAGGCAGCAGATTTAAAGTTTAGTTTTTCCAACGGACACGATTTTGCTCTTTTTTATTCGTTCGTTGATTTTCCCACCTATCAAATCCGGCTCAAACCATTGTTTTGTACCAAACTGTTGACTTTTTTCCGTTGTAGACACAGCGGATGAAGAAGAATCTGACATTGCCAACGCCAAGGCTAATGATTTGAACGCGGGTGAGAATTTAATACAACTGTTTGGCTAAGATTTATTTTCACCAGATGTTTGATGTTTGATACCTTTGTATTTTTTTTCAGAGGATTTTGAAAAGGAATTTTCATCCAAAGACCAAGGTAAGAAAGTAGCTGCTACAGGATAGTTTGTTATTGAATTCGGCATTATAAATTTTAAAATTTCTTAAGTGGGTTGTCGTTTCCTATATTCTAAAGTTTTATCCCTTAATGTGGGCACCCTGCCCAAGCATTACACAACAGCAGTTTTATTATTATTTGCTGCTGTTAGTCGCTGTAGATTAGTGTATCACAAAATGAAATATGCCGTTTGTCTTTAGATGAAAAGGGAGACTCAATTCTTATACACACTGAAGGTAACTTATTTCAATATGTCTTCTGTTACTACTTACACTGGCAATTCGTTTTTGAGAATTTGCGTTTTGTAACTATTCACTGTTTTGCATTCATAGATGATACGAAGGACGACAAAAAGCCTATAAAAATACACACAGAAAGTAAGTAATGGTAAAATTTATTTCATTTTAGAACATTAAAGGGAATCTAATGATTTTTGGGAACATTAAACTAAAGGTTTGCGAACAAGCCTAGTGGCCCATCAAATCAGCGCTCATCTCCAGTTTCCGTGGTGTCATAAATTAAGAAAAACAATAGACTGCAAGGCTGATACTACGTGAAAAACGTTTCGAGACACCAACATGACAAGAACCGATAAAGTAGGATCGCAACAGTGGACAGCTGTT